GATTTGTTAATCATCCCCATAGAATCCGTAACTTGAAGCAGTGCTACAGGAGTTACTTTCTCATTATCTGTGACTTGATTCAGTGATCTTGTAGCCATCCTCTCTGATTCCACAACTTGGTGCTTCGGCCTTGGGGCTGCCTCCATTGACTGAATGACTTGATTTGGTAGTTTGGGGGTAATGCTTACTGTTTTCATAGTTTCCACTGGTTTCACAACTTGACTTGGCAGCTGTGGGAACAAACCCACGGATTCTGAATGTGATTCTGGGATCATCCCCATTGTATCCATGACCCGAAGTAATGCCAATGGAGTTACCTTTATGCTGTCCTTGACTTGATATGGTAGACTTGGTGTCAAGTCCACATTAGTCACTTGTGTCTTGTGCTGGTTTATCCTTTTTTCTGGAAAACCTATGACCCTCTTCTCTATACTAAGCTCTAGTATGTGTTTTGGCTCTTTCTTCAGTAAAGCAATTTCCTCTGGAATCACATTAACTCCTAAACTTCTTGGAGGTAGAGTGCCCACTGATGTAACTAAAGGCTTCGATCCAAGGATTTGGGGGCCATCCCCAGGTTGTAACTGCTTGCCTGAGATAAGTGACTGTGAAGGTTTTGTTTCTGTGCTATTTGTTCCAGATCCCACTTCAGCATTCACATGCAGCAGAAATGATGGAAGGTCTGGGGAATTTTTGTTAATATTTTGCTCAGTGTTTTGATGAATGGGCATAGATAACTGAGTTTGGAGTTTATTTGATTCAGCAACTCCTCCTCGTACTTCAGTTAAATAATTGAGCATCGCCCATGATTTCCTCACAGGTAAAGGTACTGTTTGTTGCCGCAAGGTGAAAACCTTCTCAGACATGTGTCCTTCTAGCTCCTTTCTGACCGAAGGAGAGAGCTTGAATGGAGCCCACCTTGGAAGTCGTGGTCTCTCCTTGGAAACAGAATTTGGCTCATGATTTGATGTCAAATGACTCTTCCTCCTTCTCTCATCTTTTATTTTCCTTTTTTGTTCGCAGATATTTTGAGGCTCAGAAATAGAGTTGATAAAAGAGCTCTGAGATTGTAAGGGTGAAAGATCTGTCAAATTCTGAAAAAGTTTTGATTTCTGGGGCTCTGATAGCCGAAAAGGAGGCAGGGTTGTGCCTCGGTTCCCGAATACAGATGGCTGCTTTTTGTGGGAAATAGGTAAACTATGGCTCTGGCATTCCCAAGTTGTTCCTTCAGAAAAGACAGGAAGATGAGACAGACTGGAGTTACTGCATGATGACCTAAAGGAGATGCTGCGGTCCATAGAATGTTTTGCTTTCTGATAGTCACAACAGTGTAGAACAGTCTTCTGAGCCAAAAGAACAGAGGAGGTAGAGGAAGAAATTGTATCCTGTGGTTCAGGCAAATCCTGTTCCATAAGCCTTGCTCTAAGAAATAAAGAGAAATATTTCCATTTGCATTGAAATAGAAAAAGGAAAAAAGTGGCCATTTCAAATGCAAAATATTTTTGACCTGAAGGAGAATTGAAAAAAAAAAGTTTCTTTCCCCAGCATCAGTTACTTATAGAAAGAATTCCTCCACCAGGACAAAAGGAGGAAACTGTTCCCATTCCACCCAGAAATGACCCTTCGACCAGTTTGAACCCAGAACTTCCTCCACAGACAAAATGAACTCTGTCCGTCCCTCCTTCCTCCCCTTCCTTCCTCCTTTTTAAAACCTCTACCAAACTACAATGCCTGACCTTGTGCTTTCCAGGTGTCGGAAGATCTGTTGAAGACTCCGCTCCATTGACCAGAGTATATATTCCTGGGTCCAGTCCCCAGGGAGTTCTGAAACACTGGATGCAACACTGTATGTCAATATAATTGAAGTCTCATTAAAATACCAGTAAGGAAAACAGTAAGAGAGATTTAACTTAGAAAAGAGAAAGCTATCATAGTGAAGGAAGTAAAACAGAGTACCATGTACTTTACTTCTAACTTTCACAGAGTTTGTCAGTAGAATTGGCTGAAGACAGGCTTTACTCACCACGTCAGGTTAGCTTCAGTGCAGGTCATCATGAGGGTTTCTTCCCACTGTGGATCTGGGAGAAGAGGTGAAGAATCTATCAGCATCATGATTATCGACATCATTTTGTCCGACCCGCTCTTTTTGCAGATAAGGGAATAAAGATGAAGTTATGCCCAAGATCATGAAGCTAATTAGTGGTAGATCTCAGACTTAACCCATCTCAAGACTTTTCAAAAAACTACACTGCCTCTATCATACACGCTGCGTTCATCATACAGTAGATGTAAGCTATATATATTGGGAAGAATAGGAATAATCATAGTAATAAGCAGTGGGAGTAGGGGAAAGAGAGGCCATGATACATATCTTTTCCTCCAACAGAGTCTATCCAGTATCTATGGTAGGGAGAAAAAGAGAGGGAAACTTCCCTCACCAAACTCTTGGTAGTTACCCTTTGTCCATTCTACAATCTCACCAAGTTTCCTTCCCAATACCTTGGGATTTGAACAAAAAGAGCCGAGGAGAGGAAGCATGAGGAAAGGAACCATGGAGCTGTATACATACAGCTCTTTTTTTTTCTAATCTTATGGCAGATTAACATACATCTCTTTAGCCATGGAGATGCTAGAAGAAGCACACTTCTTCCATTTACATCCTCTTTTCCAACCTCCCTCCTCCTGCTATTTAAGGCTAGAGTCATAAGGCAGACCCGTAATTGGTCTGTCATTAACATGGAACTGAAGAGTGAAGGACAGAATCATTCTAACCTGTTAATTTCTGGATCTTTTTCCGTCTATGGTGCTTTGAAGTCTAGAGAAGCACAAAAAGAAAATCAGATTACGTTCTAGGTTAGAGACTTTATTAACAGCACATCTCACCTTTTAGATATCAGATATTGATACATCTCATGTATCAGATATTGAAAGAGTTGGCACCCATAACCATACATAAATACTGTAACAAACATAAATGTCAGGGAATATAGAGAATAGTGATTAATTTCCTAAGGCAGAAGGGAAGGATTACTCAAGAAGTTGCATTTGTACTGGAGTTTAAAGAATCAGCACAAGACTTTTAGGTGAAGAAAGAGTATTTCACGCAAGTGGGAACATCAGTGAGATCAGCATGATTGCCAGGGCACTTTTGCTAAATAGTGGAAGATGCTAGTCTGATAAAGTAGATAATAAACCTGAAATAAACCAGGCTCAAAAATGGAAGCTCAGCCTCTGATAAATTCAATCTGTTATTGGATTGAGATGATCCCTAATCTAAATGACTGCCAGAAGCTAAAATAGCTCTACTCTCTGGAGGAAAGTAACTTTATCCAGAACCTTGAATTTTTCACTTCAAATTTATATATAAACTCTCTGATATTAAATCAAACATTGCCTTGCTTACTAGAAGACAAGACTGAATGATTGAAGACTAAGAGATAAACCTGGGGAATAAAAACAAATTCATAGGCAATCCAGATATTGGAGTAATAAATCATGGTTTTTAAAGTGTGCTTTAAACATACAAGAAATTAGATAACAAGATGGATAATTTTGGCCAAGAACTAAAAACAAAAAAAAAGAAAAAAGAAAAAAAATCTAATGGGAATTGTAGAACAGAAGAAATAAAGAACTCAGAAAGGGGTAGAGATTAGACACAACTGAAGAAATGTCTGAAGAAAATATCCATAATGAAGCATGGAAAGAAAATAGATATAAGAGCCAACAGACATATGGGACACAGTAATAGGAGTCCCAGAAAGAAAGGGAGACAGAATAGGAGTCCCAGACAGAAAGGTGAGTGGAAACAGTATTTGAAAGTTAAAAGTCAGGGAGTATATGGTAACTGTCTGTACTTTCTGCTCAATTTCTCTGTGAACCTAAAACTGCTTTAAAATGTAGTCTGTTAAGCCGGGGGCGGTGGCTCAAGCCTGTAATCCCAGCACTTTGGGAGGCTGAGGTGGGTGGATCACGAGGTCAACAGATCGAGACCATCCTGGTCAACATGGTGAAACCCCGTCTCTACTAAAAATATAAAAAATTAGCTGGGCATGGTGGCGCATGCCTGTAATCCTAGCTACTCAGGAGGCTGAGGCAGAAGAATTGCCTGAACCCAGGAGGCGGAGGTTGCGGTGAGCCAAGATCACGCCATTGCACTCCAGCCTGGGTAACAAGAGCAAAACTGCGTCTCAAAAAAAAAAAAAAAAAAAGTAGTCTGTTTTCTTAAGGGAATAGCTAAGAGCTTTCCAAAACTGAGAAAGCCTTAGATTCGAGAAGTGTTATGAAGCAGCATGATTTCATGAAGACAAAGAAATCCTAAACTTAAGTACATTACAGAATGCTGAACACCCACACAATGACTCTTAACAGGCAAAATTAAAAGACACATTTTATTCAAAAGAAGAATAAGATGAATAGTTTATATCTTTTAGGAATATTGGAAGCCAGAAAACAATAGAATAACATCCCTTAATGTGCTAAAATAAAACAACTGCCTACCTGGATTTTTTTTCTCTTTAGAGACCAGGTCTCTCTCTGTTGCCCAAGTTGCAGTGCAGTGGCATAATCACAGCTCAGTGTAACCTCAAACTCTTGGGCTCAAGCAATCATCCTGTCTCAGGCTCCTGAGTCGCTAGGAGTACAGGTGCATACTACCACATCCAGCATTTTTGTTTGTTTGTTTTTGGAGAGATAGGATCTTAGTATGTTTCCCAAGCTGGTTTCAAACTGCTGGCCTCAAGTAATCCCTCTGTCTTGGCTTCTTGAAGTGCTGGGATTACAGGCATGAACCATAGCACACGGCTCTTAGACTTTAATACTTAGTGAAACTACCCTTCAAAATATAAGGCAGAATAGAGAAATTTTCAGTCAAAGAAAAGCAAACTATTCATAGTATACCTAATCGGTCTGCCTAGAACTTTCAAAACAATGTTGAATAGAAATAGTGAAAACAGGATTTTTCCCAAGAATGCAAAGGTTTTTCAACATAAGAAAATAAACCGAGCATGTGGACTCTCGGCCGCCGCGCAGCCGCCGGCTTCCTACTCTGGCCGTCGTCCCCCAGCCCGGCCCAGGCCCAGACCGTCACCCGGGCCCCGCGGCTTGGGGAGTTGGCCCAGCTCTGCGCCCGCCGCGGCCTGCCCACCGGAATCGCAGAGGCCTGCGCGTCCCGCCACGCCAGTTTGAATCTTCGTGGCCTCAACCAGATTCAGAATGTCAAAAAGCAGAGTGTCTATTTGATGAATTTGAGGAAAACGGGAACTTTGGGTCACCCAGGCTCTCTAGATGAGACCACCTATGAAAGACTAGCAGAGGAAACGCTGGACTCCTTAGTAGAGTTTTTTGAAGACCTTGCAGACAAGCCATACACATTTGAAGACTATGATGTTTCCTTTGGGAGTGGTGTCTTAACTGTTAAACTGGGTGGAGATCTAGGAACTTACGTGATCAACAAGCAGACGCCAAACAAGCAAATCTGGCTATCTTCTCCATCCAGTAGACCCAAGCGTTATGACTGGACTGGGAAAAACTGGGTATACTCCCACGACGGCGTGTCCCTCCATGAGCTGCTGGCCACAGAGCTCACTAAAGCCTTAAAAACCAAACTGGACTTGTCTTCATTGGCCTATTCCGGAAAAGATGCTTGATGCCCAGCCCAGTTTTAAGGACATTAAACGCTGTCAGGCTAAGACCCCAGCTTGCAGCCGAGGTCTGTTTTTCTGTTTTTTTTTTTTTTTTTTTTTTTTTTTTTTTCATTCGTGTTTTTCAGGACAGTTGGACTATGTGTCACAGCTCTGTGGAAAGAATGTGGTGCCTCTTACTTTGCCCCCAAATTCTGATTTTTAATTTCTACTGAAGATTTTTTTGAATTGTCTGATTTTTTCCCTCACATGACATCCCTTATCTTTTATAATGTCTTATGACTCTACCTAAATATTTTTAAGGTTGTTAACCTTTAGAAAAGCAAAATAAGAAGAAGGAAAAATTCCAGGAGAAGAAATGAGTTGTCTTAACTCTTCATTTTTTGAAGGATTTACTGCAAGAAGTACATGAAAAGCAGCTGGTCAACCTGCTCACTGTTCTGTCTCAAAATGAGATACATATATAGTCTGCAAACGTTCCCTGGCTTCTTTCAAAGTGTAAGCCTTTCTGAGCTCTTGAGTATTGAAATATCGAAAGCAACTCACATGAGAAGCCCATTTCTTACTTGTACTTTGTGACTGCCAGGGTGTGTCCTGCACTGGGTTGTCCAGGGAGACCTAGTGCTGTTTCTTCCACATATTCACATATCTGTGTGTGTGTGTGTGTGTGTGTGTGTATACATACATATATATTTTTTCTTTTTTTACTTTAAGGGTTAGTATGGCATGAGCTGCTACAAGAATGCAAAAAATCTTCCAAAGACAAGAAAGGAGGGAAAAAAGCCATTTTCATGAGCTGAGTGATACAGCATAATAAACAAAATCGTGGAGCTGAGGAGGTGCCTTGTAAACGTGAAGGGGCATATAAAGGAAAGAGATAGTCATGTTGATAAAAAGAGCCCTGTTCCTAGACATGGTGCAGCCACAGAGTAGTAGCCCCTTTGTGGGCAAGTTTCCCAAACTCCCTGGACCTCTGCTTCCCCATCTGTTAAATGAGAGGATATAGCATGGTTGATTCCCAGCCTTCAGTGGTCCTGGAAGCAGCCTAACAGGCTAGCTCTCATTCCCACTGGGTAGATGAGGGGATGACAAAGAACAGTTTTTAAGCTATATGGGTAACTTTGTTATTGGTGTTGCCCTATCAGGATTTCAGTTGAATTCATGTTAAAGTAATAGCCATTCTTTATTGTACCCTTACTGGGTTAAGCCCATTATACCATATTACCTCATTTTAATTTTTGCTGACCTGCACTTTATATGTGAAACAACAAGGCTCCAGGACATCAAAACTCAGGCAAAGTTATGCTCATATTATATTATTTTCTTACTTAAAGAAGGATTTATCAGTGGCTGGTTATTTTGGCTCACACCTATAATCCCATCACTTTGGGAGGCCAAGGTGGGTGGATCACCTGAGGTCAGGAGTTTGAGATCAGCCTGGCCAACATCGTGAAACCTTGTCTCTACTAAAAATACAAAAATTAGCTGGGCTTAGTGGCACATGCCTATAATCCCAGCTACTCAGGAGGCTGAGGCAGGAGAATGAACCCGGGAGGCAGAGGTTGCAGTGAGCCAAGATCTCACCACTATACTTCGGCCTGAGCAACAGAGCGAGACTCATCTCAAAAAAAAAAAGGAAGGATTTATTAGTGACAAGTTTATGTTAATATGTAGCAGAGGCTTTTCAATGGGTGAATAAAAACACATTCCATTACAGTAAAATAAAAAAAGTCAAGCTGGGAGCAGTGGTATACCTATAGTCCCAGCTACTCAGGAGGCTGAGACAGGAGGATTGCTTCAAGCCAGGAATTGGAGATCAGCCTGTGCAACATAGCAAGATCCTATATCTTTTCTAAAAAAGAAAAACTCTTAATAAGTAAAAGATTTAAAATAAGTAAAATGTTTTCTTTCTTCTGAAATGAAATTTTTTTTTTTCCTTTTTTTTTCCTTTTTTTTAGAGACAGGGTTTTACCACGTTGGTCAGGATGGTCTCAATCTCTTGACCTTGTGATCCGCCCGCCTCAGCCTCCCAAAGTGCTGGTATTTACAGGCGTGAGCCACCGCGCCCGGCCTTAAAATTATTTTTTGAGTCTGATGGAAATGTTTAAGTGCAGTAGGCCAGTGACAGTGAGAAAATAAATAAAATCGTGTGTGTGTGTGTGTGTGTGTGTGTGTGTGTGTATTTGCATCTTGCTTCTGAGGAAAGAGACACAGCATCTAGGATCCCCTTCCCCTTGGCTTCCACACTGCATTTCAATAGAAGAAAAGGCTGGCCTACTGGAGCCTCCTTAATCACCTTCCTACAGATAGCAGGCATAGTATGGGGGAATCTCTCTAGAAGGCATCCTTTTTACTTAAGATCAAATCCCGACCCCATACCTACTCCATGGACCAAGACTCTTTCACATGTAATTTCTAAAACTATAAACCCAAGACCCTTTCTTGTGTAATGTCTAGAGTTGTAAGCCTATATAAAGGCAGAGCTTCTCTTTGTTAGATGAGCTTGGCTGTTAGAGAACTATGTCACCTTGCTCCCATCCAAATAAATCACCTGTTCCTTCCTAAAAAAAAAAAAAAAGAAAAGAAAAGAAAAGAAACCACTCTAATATACCACATTAATAACATAAAGAAGAAAAAAACTCACAAGATCATATAAATCAATGTAGAAAAAAAGCATTTGACATAATCCAACAATGATTTATGATAAAAAACATAACCATAGAAATAGAAGGAGACTTCCTTAGCATGATAAAGGATGTTGCAATGGATCCATTGGGGGACAATGTTTATGTCCCCCCAAAAATTCCTTTGTCTAAATCCTCACCCTTAATGAAATGTATTAGTAGATGGGGCCTTTGGGAAGTGATTAGGTCATAAGGGGTTGCCCTCTTGAATGGAATTAGAGTCCTTACAAAAAATTCTCCAGAGGACTGAACACGGTGGCTCACACCTGTAATCCCAGAACTTTGGGAAGCTGAGGCGGGTGGATCACTTAAGGCCAGGAGTTTGAGACCAGCCTGGCCAACATGGCAAAACCCTGTCTCTACTAAAAATACAAAAATTAGCCAGGTGTGGTGGGACATGCCTGTAATCGCAGCTATTCAAGTGGCTAAGGCACGAGAATTGCTTGAACCTAGGAGGAAGAGGTTACAGTGAGCTGAGATCATGTCACTGCACTCCAGCCTGGGCAACAGAGAGACTCTGTCTCAAAAAAAAAAAAAAAAAAAAAAAAAAAATACTCCAGAGATAGCTCTCACTCTTTCCACCATGTAAAAACAGTGAGAAGTTGGCAGTCTGCAACCTAGAAGAAGTACCTCACCAGAATCTGACCATGCTGGCACCCCAACCTTGGACTTCCCAGCTTCGAGAGCTGTGAGAAAGAAGTTTCTGTTGTTTGTCAGCCACCCAGTTTCTGATATTTTATTATAGAAACCTGAATGGACTAAGATAGAAATTGGTACCAAGAGGTGAGGGTGCTGCAGCAACATACACCAAAAAATGCGTAATGAGTAGAGGGTGGAAGAGTTTTGAGATGCATGCTAGAAAAAGCCTACATTGCCAGAAATGAACTATTAAGGGTGATGCTGCTGAGAGCTCAGGAAGAAAAGAGGAGAGTTGTAGAGAAAGCTTTCATCTTTTTAGAGAATATCTAAGACAAGTAATCACAAACAGAATGTTGGTAGAAATATGCACAGTAAAGGCCATTCTGACAAAGTCTCAGGGAAAATAAGGAACTTATTATTGGAAACAGAAATGGTGATCCTTGTAAAATAGTGAAGAACTTAGCTGAATTCTGTTCATGTTTCAGTGTTCTATGGAAAGTAGAACTTGTGAGTCATAAAATTGGATATTTAGCTAATGAGATTCCTAAGTAAAGTTTTGAAGAAGTGCCTTGGTTCTCATGTTATAGTAAAGTGTGAGAAGAGAGAATTGACTTGAAGATGGAATTATTGAGCAAAAAAGAATTAGAATTTAAGGACTTGAAAAATTCTCAGCCTATTCGTATTGCAAAAAAAAAAAAAAAAAAAAAAAAATGGAGAGTGTATTCAAAGAGAACACTAAAGGGGTGGCCAAGTGACCCTTCAATAAGGGGATCAGTATATGTGTGAAACATGGATTAATCAGTCAATCAGTCACCACAGCAGGAAAACTGCCAGGTTGAACTGAAGAAGCAGGAGATGGGAGGGAATGAGGGAAAGCTGTTGGTCTTCTGGAATTTTACAATTCAGGACCATAGAGCTCTTCAGCCACAAACATACACTACTCTTGAAGACAAGGGAAGAGTAACCTGGAAGGCAATTCCGAGATCATCAGGGCTGACACCTCAGTTTCGAAAAGGGGGACCATTGCCTCACTTTCAACAGGTTAGACAACCTCTACCCAAAGCTGTGTGGACCTGGCAAAGCCCTGGGGGTGGAACTCCTGCCCACTAGAGACACTAGAGCAGGTCCTTCACCCCAGTGGGTCTAGAAGTCAGGACCACTGCCCCAGTGAAGTCTCATCTGTTTAAAATTGTACAGAAGTTCTAACCAGAGCAATTAGGCAAGAAAAAGAAAAGCCATCCAATCAGAAAGGAACAAGTAAAACTGTGTTCATGGAAGACGTATCTTACATGCAGAATATCTGAAAGAAACCTATTAGAGCTAATAAAAGCAACTCCATTTTTAGCATCCAAAAGAATAAAATACTCAGGAATAAATTTAATCAAGATGGTGCAAGATTGTACACTGAAAGGTACAAAGCATTATTGAAAAACTAAAGAAGACCTAAATAAATGGAAAGACATCCTTTGTTCATGGATTGGAATATTTAATATTATTAAAATGGCAATATTCCCCAAAGCAATCTACAGAGTCAGAATAATCCCTATCACAATCTCAATAGCCTTTTTGACAGAAATGAAAAAGTTGGTCATAAAATTCATATGGAATTATAAGGGTCCCTGAATAGTCAAGATAATCTTGAAAAAGAACAAAGTTGGAGGACTCATCCTTCCTGATTTTAAAACTT